AGTCTCGGCTTGACAAAGCCCTGGCCGGGTTGATTTAGATGGGATTGGTCCTGTCTAGAGCAGGGGGCTGGACTTGACGACCTTCTGGGGTCTCTTCCAGTTCTGTGATAATGGGATGGTTTGATGAGATAACATGATCTTGGTAACTAATTGACCATTCATTATCAGTGGGAAATAGGTCAATGAAGGGATGATAGGAGTTACTATAGAGAACTTTCTGGGTGTCTGGCTGATGAGTCTTGCCCACATGCTCAGGGTTTAGCTGATTGCCATATTTGGGGTCGGGAAGGAATTTTCCTCCAGGGTAGATTGGCAGAGGCCCTGGAGGTTTTTCGCCTTCCTCTGTAGCATGGGGCACAGATCACAGCTGGAGGATTCTCTGCATCTTGGGGCCTTCAAAGTATTTGAGGGTTTCAATATGTGAGATGTAGGTGAGAGGATTATTCTAGGAGGGGGTGGGTGAGATTCTGTGGCCTGCACTGTGCAGGGGGTCCGACTAGATGATCATAATGGTCCCTTCTGACCTTGGAGTCTATGAGTCACACATCAGTAACAATAAGCATTCCATAATCAGAATTTAGTAATCAATTCTGTAAAAAAGAATCTTCCTCCTTCACCTAGATTTGTATTGGCTTTGCATTGCTAACATGAAAATAAAGTATCAACTTATTGTCAGTTAGTAAAGTGAGTAGGTGTGCCTCTGGGAGCAGATATGTGGTGTATTTTCATATAGTAGAACTCACTATAAGGTAAGAGTAGTGAAACATGTACAAAAGAAAGAAAAATATTCTCTCTGTGCTGCCTGATGTAACAGGAATATAATGCTCATCATTGTCATGTGGGAGGAGGCGTGGGTAAGTGGCTAGTGCACTAGCCCGCAACTGAAAGACAAGGAGTCAAGTTCTCTACTCTGTTACAGGCTTCCTATCTGACCTTGGGCAAGTCACTGAGCCTTTTTATGCCTCAGTTTCCCATCTAAAAATGGGAATAATAGTTCTAGCTCCCTGTCAGTCCCCCAGTTCCAGTCCCTGCATTAAGAAGAGGATCAAGACATTAGCATTTTATTTAGATTATACGAACAGTTCTAGTCCATCCAATTATGTATATTTCTACCTTGAAGGGTTGTAGAATAGGTATAGGGCCTTTATTCTTTATAGTTAATGGATTTTTTTTTGCATTAAGCTTCTTTCGTGGGGGAAAGATTGAGTTATAATTATTAAAATCTTTCCTTAGGAGCTATTTTTTGTTCATTTACTAAGAATTAAAAATAGCAGACAGAAAATGAGTTTTAATAATTGCAGGCCAGTCATGCAATTGAATCAAACTAATTCTGTCTAAATAAGTTTTGTGTCAACATTCCTCTTAAAGATTTGTAAAGCTCCATAATGGAACTATATTATAGCCTACTTTTAGTTAACATTACAAATTAAAATCCCAGTCACATAAACACTGTGTGCATGTGAATAATCCATCAAGTTCATCTGATTTCTTTTCCTGTTGCAGATAAAGCACATAGGCTGTGTCTACATTGGCACAATCTTGCGCCAAAGTGGCCGCTTTCGTTACATTGGCACAATCTTGTGCCAAAGTGGCCGCTTTCACGCAAAACATGCTGCCTGTCTACACTGGTGGGGAGTTCTTGCTCAAGAACACTGACATTCTAATGTGTGAAATCAGTGCTTCTTGCACAAGAACTATGATGCTCCCTATGATGTTCTTGTGCAAGAGGCCAGTGTAGACAGGCAACATGAATTTCTTGCACAAGAAAGCCCAATGGCTAAAATGGCCATCAGAGCTTTCTTGCGCAAGAGAACGTCTACACTGGCATGGATGCTCTTGCACAAAAGCACATCTCTTGCGCAAAGGCACATGCCAGTGTAGACGCTCTCTTGCTCAAATACTTTAACGCAAGAACTCTTGTGTTAAAGGGTATTTCCGCAAGATCATGCCAATGTAGACGTAGCCATATAGTATATTACGTAGCCATATAGAATATTACGTATGATCGAGCTATAAAAGGAGCAATCAAGGACGATAAAGCCATTGTGGAGAAACTAAATGATTTCTTTGCTTCAGTCTTCACGGCTGAGGACGTTGGGGAGATTCCTGAATCTGCACTGTCCTTTGTGGGTGATGAATCTGAGGAATTGTCCTGGATTGAAGTGTCATTAGAGGAGGTTTTGGAACAAATAGAAAAACTTAATGTTAACAAATCTCCGGGACCAGATGGCATTCATCCAAGGGTTCTAAAAGAACTCAAATGGGAAATTGCTGAGCTATTATCTGTGGTTTGTAACATATCCTTTAAATCGGCTTCCGTACCTAATGACTGGAAGGTAGCCAACGTGACACCAATATTTAAAAAGGTCTCTAGAGGTGATCCTGGCAATTACAGACCGGTAAGTCTAACTTCAGTACCGGGCAAATTAGTCGAAACAATAATAAAGAATAAAATTGTGAAGCATGTAGAAGAACATAATTTATTGGACAAAAGTCAACATGGTTTCTGTAAAGGGAAATCCTGTCTTACTAATCT